TCAACAAGGATGTCCCCAGCTAGCCTCTATGCTTATAACATTTTCCAAACACTTGTTCTAAGTGCTTCGCAATGAAAAAAGAAGAAACTTTTGACAAATGCACAATTTCATTTGTAAAGTGAACTACACCAAATCTGGGATATTTTTCTTGGTTCATTAGCTTTTTCGAAAGTAAGAGGAACGGGGCAGCCCCATCTTGAAGGTCACTCCGCTCGGGGTTTAGGAGTCTGGGAAGCCATAAAAAGGCAAAGGTGTTTGGAATCCGTGGTGCACCACCCCCACCGATCCTAACAATGGGTTAGGTAATGCACCATAGCAAGAGCTGGAGACATTACTCTAACAGTGCTGCCGGGAAACTATAGCCAAGTGTGGATCTGGACAAGGGTATCTGTCACCACCCAAGGTTAGCCCTTGCCGCCAAAGAAGCTGAAAGAGGAAAGAAGGGTAGAAAGAGAAAACAAGCAAAGGTAGAAGAGGAGAAGAAAGGCGACTGACTGAATCATCCTGGTCGGGCCAAGCCAGGACACCCGTTTACAAGAAGCAGGGGGCGAAGTGCTATATTGCCTCGTCCGGGGGGGCCCCGAAGGGTTCAAACATACCCCGGGCTCAGCTCAACCACCAGGATCCCCTTCGCCCCGGGTTAAGCCACGCACAGTCAGGCGTGGGTGGGTGAACCCGCATGGCTCGGGGTTCGTAATGACTCACCAAGCACCTACTAAAGCAGGTGCCCCCTGCATGTGGGTATGGTGACGCCACTCACCAAGCACTTAACATGTAAGGTGTAGATGCCCCCAGCAGGAAAAAAACATGGCAGTTCTTAGAACACTTTCCTAATAACAACAAAAATAAAAACAGTTATCGGGAAATTAGGAACAAAGTAAAATCTTTCATAAGAAGCACGAAAAGAAATAATTATTCGAAAAATACAGCACGGTGCTGGTCATCAGTGAATCGGCTGTTAGGACAGAAAAAGAACAAATCAACTGAAGACACGATAAGAAGTAACTTTAATTATAACGTAGAAAAGCTTGCCAACAATTTCACTACAGAATATGTATACCCAATCGAAACCCTTCGTAGAAGAACAGAAAGACAACTTAATCAAATAAAAATCTCTAATTCATTATTTGTTCCAGATATGAACGAAAACAAATGGAAATAATGGGAAAAATTTAAGTTAATGAAGTGGGGATAGGTCAAATAAGGTCGAGGGATATTAAATACCACATTCATGTGTATTTAACACCCATTCTGATACAGCTATACAATTGTATATTCTATAGGGCTATCATTCCTGGAAAACTTAAAACACCTGTAGAAGGCCACCTACACAAGCTGAGAAAAACAAACTTCCTAATTATAGACCAGTGTGTATACTCTTGGTATTGAATTATAAAATGAAAAAATACAGCGAAGCTTTGTCGTGAAGCATAATATAGTAAGTAATACACAGTATGGGTTTAGAGACATAAAAACATGTAATTATTAGAGGACTTTTTTTATTCAAGTATGAGAGCATGGACAACGGAAAATATATAGTAGCCTTGTTTATAGACTTTACTAAGGCTTTTCAAGCGATAAATTATTCCATTATATTAGAGAGATTAAATAGTACAGGAATTCGGGAGAGGGCATTTGACTTGTTTCAAAATTACCTCCTTGATAGACACCAAGTGGTGCGATCAGGTTGTAAATATAATAGGGAAATTAAAGTCAACCACAGGGAACAGTACTTGGCCCATTAGTTTTTCATTTATACGCTAACGAGATAACCCAGTCAAAATAACAAATAAACATTTTTAAGTTTTTTGATGATACGATAATTGCCTATGTCCACAAAAAATATACAAACGCCGAAGGGGAGTTTCAGGAAGTTATTTTCAATTTTCTTCAATGGTTTCATAAAAATCAAATAATTGTAAACTTTTCTCAAAAACCCACATAATGTGATTTCGAGACCCAAGAAAAAAAAAATACAAACTGAAGTACCAACAAAAATGCAAGAGAAAAACTGTAACAAGTGTTCTTGCCCCGCTCTGAAATATGTCGACAATGTAAAGTACCTTGGAATGTACAGAGATCATCATCTTAAATAAAAAAAATTCATGTAGAACAGGTACACAAGAAATGAAGAATACTGAAGGCACATATGATTCATATTCAAGGTACAGTTCCCCATTCTGTACTTTGAATGATATACAATTCCTTAGGAAAATCGGTACAACAATATGGAATAAGTGTTTTGGGCACTGTGCCAAGTATCTGCAAATAAAAATTGAAACTGTTTAAAAGAAGATATTTAAAAGGTAGAACATAATCGCAAATAAAATTATATTACTACTAAGTATATGCAAAAACATCTAAGAGAATAAAAAAACTAAAAAATGGATCAATAAGGAGAAAAAAGGTAAACAATGATAAAGCATATCAGAATAAACGAAGCAGACCACCCTTCCCGACGTGTCTACTACTATAGATATTTTTTCCTTTATGGTGATTTAATTAGAATTGGTCCACCTCAATTGTAAATAAACATTGAAACAACCCTTGATATTACACAAAATTTCTCTTTCTTTTGTTTTTAGTTAGACTCGCAACACAGGGCTGAACATGTGTACAATTTACAATGAAATTATTAGGCAGTGACAGAGGCACACATTTCCTTCGTAACCGAAGTGTGAGTTTAACGAAGGATGTCCTGCTGCGTCCCACGCACAAACCTTATTGGCTAACGTGGGCACAGATTGTAATATGTTCAAAATGGAAATGAAAATGTAGTCTATATTCTATTGCAGGGGTGGCCAGTCTGACGCGGGCTAAGAGCCGCAAACAAAATTACAAAACATCCCAGAGCCGCAAGGGGGGGGGGGGGGGGAGGGAGGGAGGGAGGGAGGGAGGGAGGGAGGGGTGGAATTATTGTTTAGAGCAGTAAACGACTCTCGAACTATTTTCAATCTATCCAAGTCAAAAGCAGTACAACTGTACGTAAGGTAGTAGCAGCACATGACTACAAAACCGTAATCTGTCTTTCGATTTAAAACGCGTTCCGTTTGTGTTTTGGGGGAAGTGCTCGTGTGACCGGGAGGGAGGCGGGGGAGGAGGGGGAGTGGAGGGATAGGGAAAGGAGCCGCGAGCTGCACTTTAACACGTGAAGAGCCACATGCGGCTCGCGAGCCGCAGCTTGGCCACCGCTGTTCTATTGCTTCAGCCGGTGCCTAGCTGCTAGAGTGCAAAGTCATGAAATGTGTTCAGCTTGATGTAGCCAGGAATGGTAGAAAGTAAAGCACTCTGCAGCATGGCAGAACAAAGATGCACGTACCGTATCACTCAATAAACAGGCTGCGTTTCTTTCCCAAAAATTTCCATCGATGCATTTTATACAATGATGCAACTTATATGCAATTCTTTTTCTATAACTAAAGGCCTTAACTATGGAAATGTGCCACGGCAGTTATATTTCTCGCTCAATTCGTTGAAGAGAATATTGAAACCTGCTCTCGCTTACGAATATACTGCGATCATAATACGCATGTGCCGGCTTTTAAAATCATCTTTGTCGTGCCCATCATACAAATATCTAAATGCGACTTGTATAAAGGTGCAGCCCACATGCCAATATTTTAATAAAATAGTTGTTTACAGTGAGGAGCGGCCCTTCAAAATGTGTGACCTAAAGACCACAAAAATATGGTATATTCTCATTGCGATGGGAACTGAGGGCTTCTTTATTAGTGATAAATCTCTTTGTTGTCCCGACTTTTGAAAGCAATAGATGGTAGTCAGTATTGGTAGATCATGGATGAATCATCAATAAGTGATCAGTTAACCGGGGTGTCTAGCAAGTTATTATTTTGAAATTCCCTGACTTTTTCATGTTTTCCCTAACAAATTCAGGTGAATTTCCCTGACCACTGTAGAGGCAGTTACGTGTATAAGACCATTACAACACAAGGCATTGAGCATTGAGCACTGTGAGCATCATTTTTGCACGGGCTTAATCCAACTTTCATATTTTAAAATATTCTAGTTCTAGTCTAGATCAAATGAGCCCTTTCTTGCCGGCGACATCGACAGTGAAGAGGCCACTTCCAGAAACACGATGAAAACACGACGCTCAACCACACACATGCCTAGTTAATAACCGAATGACAGCACGGCCGCCAAATGGACACTTTCGGATACTTTCGGCTTGGGTTGGATAGCGGTCTGCGGCTTTCCCATTTGTGACTAAATCTAGAAGCTCTAACTGGATTTAGCCTAGTGTTGCGCCCTCAATCCAATCCAAAGCTTGACTGGGTTTGTCGGCTGTTCTCTTTGCATCGGGTAGCGCACACTACATCGGGTGAGCAGAGCCTGGCCTCCGCTCTAAGCAGAATTTATTGCCTATTTTTCTGCACCCAAGTCCTCAAGTCTTTGCTCAGGGCACTCGACGGCGTTTACGGCTCGTTTTCCCTGACTGGGCTCGCTTTTTCACAATATCCCTGACAATTCCCTGATTTTTCCCGGTAATTAAAATTTCCCTGACAATTCCCGGTTTTCCCGGTAGCTAGACACCCTGGTTAACAGGTGGTCACCCCAAGATGGTCTTGAATAATAAAGTAAGAACAACACTGCAAATAGATTAAGCTACATGGCCCTTTACTACACAACAGACAGCCCCCACGGATGATGTCCCTTCTGATGTGCATTTAAATAAGCTTTCTGCACAAACTTTTCTCCACACCACTTGCAATGAAATGGCGGGTTTCCACCATGAAGTCCCTCGTGACACCTCAGTTGGAACGGCACGATAAACGCCGCACCACACGTTCTGCACCTCTACGGTTAGTCACTTGTGTGGACTCTTTTGTGACGCTTCAAGTCACTGCTAACTGCAAATGCCTTATGGCAAATCTGGCACCTATACGGCCTTTCACCCGTATGAACCCTCACGTGAGCCTGCAGGGTACTTTTCTGTGAAAAAGCCTTCTGGCAAGTCTGGCACCTGAACGGTTTTTCACCCGTGTGAATTCTCATGTGAACCTGCAGGTTACATTTCACAGCAAACACTCTGTGGCAGACGTGGCAGCTGAAGGGCTTCTCGCCTGTGTGCTTCCTTTCGTGAATCTTGATGCCCGACGTGCGGGAGCAGGAGAAGGGGCAGAACCGGCACTGATACTTCTCTCGGTGTGGGTGTGCCATCTGCTGCCACATGGTGAACGAGTTATTCTCAGAAAAGTGTTCGCTCTCTGTGTTCTCTTCACAGCCAAGGGCCTCGTCTTCGACTTTCATGGCTCTTGGGCCAGGCCCTGCGAGAAAAGCAAGCCAAATTTTATTCCACAGGCTCTTCTTTTACCAAGAGGAGCAGTTTCAAAACCAAAGTGTACCTGAGCATCAACAATGGCGCGGTGTGAGGTGGTCATTAACTAAAACGAATACCGCACTCCCAAGAAACACTGTTCTTTTAGTGCCTGGATAGGACACATTTGCCACAAAATAAACCTTTTCTAAGAAAACAAAAACATTTAGCACAATGTTAAATGTGTATTGCAACATAACGCCTTAATATTTTTACAGGAAAAGTACATTCTCTGACGTCCATACTCAATCCGGGCACTTAAGAAAATGTTGTGCGAGTTCAGCGTCTTTTTAAGGACAGCAGACTCAATACATAGAATGCTTTAAGTGTGTAACGCCCACTCCATACTAAAACTAAATATAACTCCGGCAGTCACTGCCTACATACTTCGAAGCACTTAGCTAACTATTCTATTTTATGCCTGATGAATACTCAAAATCTGCAGTTTCTACTTCCATCCTCCCGTCACCGAACTAGTAAGCTGGCATTGAAATATTGGTTGCAGCCAAGTAACAACATGTTATACACTAGTAAAATCATATAGGTGGATCCTGTGTTGAGAGAGGCAGGCCACTTGGCTAAAAGAAAACGTAACGATTTTAACACAGCACTTTCAAACTGGTTTCAATCACATGAAGACTGCACTAGCGGACTGGATCTCGTGCGGTAGTTTGGTTTGAGGGAGAGAGGAGTTATCTGCAGTTTTCTATGCTTGGGCCACACTCAATCCTAATGAACATTGGTGGTGACGGTTGTAAAGAACTGGTCATGCCAAAAATTGGCTGGTGGTGGTGAAGCTCTCCCTAACCTATGCATTCCCTAGGGATGTATTCCCTAGATTTTCTTTGAGACAATGGCCACAGATTTTGCCACAAGGTTTAGAAGAGGCTGAATAGACAACCATGATAGATCTCGATGCAATGGTACGGTACACAACTCTGTCCATATTTAAAGGTGCACGAAAGACGTTCCTGAGATTGTCTGTTCTTGGTGATAACTCATTCTATGGGATCTCAGCATTCCACAAAACTAAAACTTACGCTCGTGCGACGTCTATTTCCCTACTAAAAATGTGACTGAAGTTCGTGCCAGGCCCCTTTCTGAGTGGAAAAATCTGGAGCACAGAATTCAGCGGAGGCGCCGGCAGCGTGATGACGGGCACACTTCAGCCAATCGTAAGTGTCGGCACCGGCAGACTAGTACATAATCCGTTACAAGTAATGAAATTACTTGTAATTTCTTACATTTATAGTAATTTTGTAAGGAAATAATTACATATTTGCTAGAGTAATTATAAAATAATTCCCTAACATATTTATGTAACGGATTCGTTGTAATCCGTTACATTTCTTGCATGACCCCCCCCCTCTAAAAAAAAGGTTGTTTTTATTTTAGTGAAGTCAGAGCAGTCAGACTGTCACGCGCATTGACCAGCGCAAAGAGAGGCTTGGCACTCTCCAGTACCCCAAAGCCTTTCTTTACAACCACCAAGCCCCTCTACCTTTTTTAGAGCGCAGCTCTTAGGGGCCCGTTTCCGGCTTGAGCGGCGTCGCCGTCGGCGTAACCGCGCGGTGCATCATGGGAAATGTCCCATAATGCACCGCGCGAGCCCCCCCACCGGGGTCACGTGACCTCGTGGGGGGTCACGTGACCCCCCCGAGGTCACGTGACTCCCCTGAGGTCACGTGACCCCCTCCTCGAGGTCACGTGACCCCCGCCGATGTCGCGTGACCCCCCGATGACGTCATCGTCACTGATGACGTCACCGGCATCCACATCGTCATCGTCATCATCACTGATGACGTCACCAGCATCCACATCGTCATCGTCATCATCACTGATGACGTCACCGGCATCCACATCGTCATCGTCATCATCACTGATGACGTCACCGGCATCCGCATCGTCATCGTCATCATTACTGATGACGTCACCGGCATCCACATCGTCATCGTCATCATCACTGATGACGTCACCGGCATCCCCATCGTCATCGTCATCATCACTGATGACGTCACCGGCATCCACATCGTCATCGTCATCATCACTGATGACGTCACCGGCATCCACATCGTCATCGTCATCATCACTGATGACGTCACCGGCATCCGCATCGTCATCGTCATCATCACTGATGACGTCGCCGGCATCCCCATCGTCATCGTCATCATCACTGATGTCACCGGCATCCACATCGTCATCGTCATCATCACTGATGACGTCACCGGCATCCACATTGTCATCGTCATCATCACTGATGACGTCACCGGCATCCACATCGTCATCATCACTGACGACGTCACCGGCATCCGCATCGTCATCGTCATCATCACTGATGACGTCATCAGCGACGTCACTGATGACGTCACCGACATTCGCATCGTCATCGTCATCATCACTGGTGAAGCCATCAGTGACGTCACTAATGACGTCATCGGTACCCGCATCGTCATCTTCACGGATGACGTCATCAGTGACGTCAGTGATGACATCATCGGCATTGGGGGTCACGTGACCCCCAAGGTCACGTGACCCCCCCCCCCTGGTTAGTTTACCCCCCCCCCCCCCCCCCCCGTGCCCTTCCCTCCTCCTCCTCAAGAGCTGCGCTCTAATTCGGCGTTACAGGGAGTTGTAAGCGGCTTTCATTTTTTTTTTTTTAGACCCTAACAATAATGTTAAAAAGTTCAAATGAATATTTCTACAAAAAAAAAAAAAAAAAAGTGGGAGGCAAGCTATATTTCCTTTTTTAATCCCTTTGTTTTTTCTTTGCAATCGGACGTGGGGAGAGGAGGACACCAGGTGATTGTGTGCCTTTTTGAGAAGCTCGAGGCGGTAAGTGCACAGACAAGAATTAACAATGCCCTTCTCGGTTATAGTGACTACGACAATTTTCATAATGGCACAACAGGAGAGAACACTCCATCTACCCTAAAATCCACTAAAAGAGATGTGATAATATGTGAAGGTGTTATTGCCACAAGCATCCTCGTTCATTGCTGCACACTTCTCATCTTCTCTTAGAAAACAGGATGTATTTTTTCTGCTTCTTTTCACCATTTTTGACCCCGTTTTATTGCTGCACACTTCTCATCTTCTCTTAGAAAACAGGATGTATTTTTTCTGCTTCTTTTCACCATTTTTGACCGTTTTAAAAGCTACTTAATTTTTTTTGTAGTCCAACTTCTAGAGTTGGCCCACTTTATTTGTGAATTCCAGCCAGGTTATCTGCATATCAGTCACCCTTTTTGTGAGTCAGCTTTTTGCAAGCACTTCTAAAATGATAATAGTCTGGCTTTTTGTTCTTTTTCCCTATTTTCACCCCAGCAGGATGTATCTTATCTCAAGCAGAGATTTTTTACAAATAAAACAAATGGTGGCTGACATAGACGTCAGATTTTGGGCTTAAGGAGAGAGTAAAACTCGTGAGTGGGGCCATAGTGCTGCTTACTTCTCTGCCCTTCGCTGCCCGTGGCATCAGCGAATATCTATCTGGAGAACACCGGAGTAAATTGCAGTTGGTCCGTGCTCCGTGCATTTTTGAACGGTATCAAGAAAGGTACACACGACAAACGTGCCTTTACATTTCTTTGTTTTAACCGACGTTCTAATTAATTGTCGTTATGAGTGACCTGGTGTTTTCTTTCTCTATTACTTATATTTATATAATGAAAACGTTTTCTTATTCACCAATGTCTCAACCGAGGCTCTACCTGTTCAGAACCAAAGGAAGAAAAATTTTGAGCCAAACCTTATTTATTACTTAATTATCACCTTACTAGGTCACTATGTTTTGCTATTGCCTGGCAATATATGCCGGTATAGTAAGATGTACACAAATCAATTTTTATTCCAGTCTTGGCTAGTTGTACGAGGACTTCAACAGCTTCGCGATTTCTACAATAGAGAATTTTAGCAGATTGTTTCGATGACTCCAATAACGATACCTGATCCTCGGCCGCCGCAATTGTGCATGCATCATATCGTTATCGGGTATATTTATCGAAGGTATCGGAACGATTTACCAAGACTCTCGAATATCAGGCAACGGCCGCAACGACGAAGCTTTGCTCAAATTTTCACAAGGTGAATTGTACATCCGTAGTTACGCTGAAGAAGCTCAATTCAGAGCATGAAGCATTCATGAGGCACAATATGGCACTCTCATCCACTGCCTCAGTTCAAAGGGTGTTCAGCATGGCTTTCTTACATCTCAGTAAGAAATGACGCAAAATGTCAGACGAGACTTTCGAGAGCCAGCTGTTGCTCAAAATACTCAAGGTCAATAAATGAAGCAGGTGGCAGCAATAAGAACTTGAATAACCCTCTTCCCTTTTTTTTTTTTTCTTACTTGAAGACATTAAGGTTGAAAGTAATGCCACGAAAGTAACGGATTACTTTTGGGGGTAACAGTCACTTACTTTTCATTGTAATTGTCTTACTTTAATTTTAATACTTCTAATTGTAATTAATTACAATTTAGTCTTGAGTAGTTGTAAATGTAGTTCCTTACTATTTTTCAGTAACATGTACAACTCTGAGCGCCAACAGCGGAGGCGCCGGATTTTTCCGCTCAAAAAGGGGTGTGGCACAAACTTCGATTACATCTTTATTAGAGAAACAGATGTCGTAGGAGCATAATTTTTGGATTTCTAGGATGCCTGGAGCCCATAAGATAAGTTATCACCAAGAACAGATAATATCAGAAGCGTCTTTAGTGCACCTTTAAGGCCAATTTCAGCAAACCAAGCTGCACTGGTAGTGTTTAAAGAACATGTAATAGTGCAAAAACCTCTCCAGTGATAGTCATGTCCCACCTGTTACAGAACATTGAAACCCAAAAGTGGTAAAGCCGGGAAAGCATGAACAGGACAAATGGCATCATCGCTGAATATATCGAACAATTTTGTACACTAGTAAGATAAAATGAAAGGTAAAT